CCTGACAACTATAGGATATGCTGTATAAAACCACATGCTTCTCTGACCAGGGAGCCTTTTCCCTAATCCCTGCCCTTGAAAGATGAGGAGACCACTGCAGGCAGCCAGTTAGGACACTCGCTCAAGCCAAGTGTCTCTTTACCTCCTTCAATACCCTGTTTGTTCTTAGAGTGAGCGTCCTAACCTCTAAGTCTCTGCCAGGGAAGTTTAAGTTCTTATTTACACACACACCCAGTGGTCACTGGACTGACACCTAGCGTTTATTTGTAGGTCCAGGGAAAGGCCCGAATGCCACATCCTCCAAAGTGTCGCCACACTGTGGACCGCATTGCATCAGGATGAAGGGCTCATAGAGTGTCCCAGAGTGGGTCCTGGTACCATGTGTCCTCCCGTTGTTCATCGATTTGCTCGAAGTGGGCCCAGTAACGTCTCCATCTTGAGACTTGTTGTTACTGTGTTTGGCATATAGAATACGTCATGGGTAGCTTGCCAGGCTTTGCCATGCGGGCGAGATACTCTCGGTAGCTTGCTGGGCTCTCCGAGAGGGGCAGAGCAATCGAACCCGTCTTGGCCGGGCTGGCTGTGTGCAAGGCAAACACCTTACCGCCGTGCTATCACTCCAGCCATGTGAAAACTGCTTTATTCGTTTCCATCTTGTCTGGTCACATTCACTCTTCGGGGCTTGTTGTTTTCCTGCTTCCTGGGTTATTTATGAGTAATAAGCAGCTTTGAGAAGCACACTGTGCTGGGGCTTGGAGGGTCTCATCCTGCAGTGCTCAGGGCTCACTCCTGGCTCTACACTCAGGGATCATTCCTGGTTGGGGGACCGTATGGGGTGCCAGGGAGTGAACCCACTTGACCACAAGCAAGGCAAAGAACCAGACCTGCTGTACTGTCTCTCCAGCCTCCCGATTCCTCTCAAATAATAATGCAAAGCCCTCTGCTTCCTTCCTCGCCCTGTGGTGCTAGAGATTGAACCCGGGGCCTCAAATCCTCTCACCACAGAGCACCATCCTGGCCCTGTCTGGTTACCTTCCATGAGAAACACTTTTCTTTTTTTTTTTTTTTAATTTTTAGGGTTAGTAGTTCACAATATTTCATTACATTTAATATTCAAACACCAATCCCACCACCATTACCCCTTCCCACCACCATATTTCGGATGGAGAAACACTGTTTTAGAACAGCAATAAATAAATCTGGCACACTGTGCTGATTTAAAAAAAAAAATCACCATGCTCAGTGGCAAAGTGGAGTATGGGGCAGACGTCCTCTATTTCTTCCCATCTGGAAGCTTCTTTATAAAGCCTTCCACACTTGGGGCAGCTTATCCCTTCCAGGATGGGAGAGAGCACAGGGTCCTTGAGTGACTTGTCGGGTCCCCCTGGGCCCTGTCTCTCATGGCCATTTTGGAGGGTTGTGGGCCCCGCTTCCAACCCATGTCTCACGGGGGGTCTCCTCGGCTGGCTTCTCTGCTTCTTCCCGGGCCTCTGGCAGCTCTGTGCAGAGGTGCCCTGACCTCTCCAGAAAGTCCTCTCCAGCAGGACAGAGTCCCCTCCCATGCCGTCTGCCTTCCTGTTCCAACCCAGATCTGCCCGAAAGGTGACACAAGAGCCCCCTCAACCTCACCTTTGGGGGCCGGGGTGGGGGGCCAGGAACACCCTCCTCTCATCACTCCCTCTGATACCCTCCAGGTGAGTGCGGAGGAGAGGGGACACCCCTTTGCAAGTCTTTTTTATTTTAAAGGTTTGCAGCACCCGGTATTCCCAGGCGCTCTCCCATTCAAGTCCTAACCAGGCCCGGCCCTGCTTAGCTTCTGAGGTCAGTCCTTTGCAAATCTTCTAGGGTACTCTAACCCCTGTTGGAAAAGTGGGAGGAGCTGGCAGTTAGTATCCGGGGCTTCTGTCAAAGAGGAAGCAAAACCCACCTTCCACTGAATGCCCCATGCCAAATGTGCCCTCCTTCTCTAATTCTCTTCCCACCCTCCTTGAGGTTTGCATTATTCAGTCCATGTTGATAGGGATCAAAGGCCAAGTCCAAATGCCCTTTTAACAAAGTGTGTGGGTTTGTTGTTTATCAACGATAACTTGGATTTTAGGTGGTTGGCAAAGGGTTGCAATGATTGTGTTATACTGAGAATTCAAAAACAATTCTTGGGGCTGGAGTGATAGCACAGCAGGTAGGGCGTTTGCCTTGCACGAGGCCAACCCGGGTTTGATTCCCAGCATCCCATATGGTCCCCCGAGCACTGCCAGGAGTAATTCCCGAGTGCAGAGCCAGGAGTAACCCCTGAGCATCGCCAGGTGTGACCCAAAAGGCAAAAAAAAAAAAATAATAAAACCCACAAAAAAACAATTCTCATGATTTGTAGTAATTTGACAAGCAGCAGGACCCCCCCTGGCAGCACACTTTTGGGGTGCTACTTCTTTTAGTAGCCACATCTGGTGGTGCTCAGGGACTGCCTCCTCTGCAGAGCTCAGGGTCACTCCTGGGGGTGCTTAGGGATGATGGTGAGAGAGAGGAGCACCCACTCAGCCCACTGAGCTCCCTCTCTGGTTTCCAGTTACACCTTCTGACATTTGTTTTTCCAACCAAATCAAGGAAGGGACCTGAACTGTAGGCAACAACAAGGTAGCTGCCCAAGGGAACAGGAATGAACAAGTATATAGAATTTCTTTGCAATTCTAAACGTGCTGTGGTCATTTCAGTGGGGTGTCACTTCGTATCCATCAAAACAACTACCACCCCAGGTCAGACTCAGCATGTGGGTCACAGACACAGTGTCAAATCATGCAGCGTCATCAGGTGGCCTTGGGAATGAGTATGTCCCTAAAGAGTCTTCATCCTGCCTCATAAAACAAGTGACCGGCATCTCTCTCCTGCCTCCAACCCTCTCCATTTGGCGCTGGATGCTTTCCTTGCCAACTAAAGCCATTTTGGAACCGTTAATAGATCATTATAGGACAAAAAAAGAATGTTACAGATTTCTTTTCAATCTTAATGATAACCAGTTCCAGGATTCTGATTCGGACATGATCTAAAATTTAAAATACCTTCGATCATATTGAATATCCATGTTAATGGGTGAGATACCAAAGCCAATCAAAGGAAGAGGAATACACGTAGGCTTTTGTCCTCCGTTCTCTTGAAGCCTCATGAGAATGCTCATGACATTTAGAGAATCAGCAATCCACATGCCTGCACGGCCCGCGTTCTAGCATAATATTTCAGCCGCCAATACATTGTCAGGGCTGTCATTTATTTCACTCTCTGGGTTCATTTGGATGGACAGTTTGGAGATGTTGGCGGCAGTGATTTCATGCTGCTGACGAATGGCACTGAATCTGCTGTCCTTACACACTTGAGTTGCTTTATTAAACCAAAGGGGCCCAGGCTGGGCGGAGGGTAGGAAAGAGGGCTTATGAGGCCAGAGCCCACGCCAACACCTGAACCCCAAGTTCCAGTCCTTGCACCGCACAACCAGGGTCACAACCCTGGGACCCTCGAGCACTGCTTGACCTGAGCATTCCCTCATCAGCAGGTCAGCATTGAACTGTCAGGCTAAGGGTCTCCAGAAAGCAGTCCCTGGAGTCCTCTGAATAGGACTCACCCCCGCCCCCCACAAAGAGTGGGGCTAACCAAAGTGAAGGATCAATTAAACAACACGGGAATTCTCAAGAGTCATTCCATAGGAAACAAAAGGAAAAGTAAGGCTATTTCACAAATCAGGAATCCCATTCCCCAGAAAGGGGGTGATCTAAATCACCTGTAACTCTTGATCAAAAGTACTCATGCACCGGCCCTACCTCTACCTTAATCCAGACTCTAACTCAAGGGGTTTGAGGTGAACCAGCATTTGGGGTCCCCGAAGCAGTGCTGAGAGGCTTTGGGGCTACCAGCTAGTCCCCTAACACTGCCCAGGGGCCCCATGCTGCTTAGAACCTGGAGTGGGGGAGGGGGAGGGTTGATGTGCGGTGCCAGGGGCCCAGAAAGATAGTACAGCGGGTAGGAGGCATTTCTTGCACATGATGGGCCATGTTCGATCCCCAGCACCCCGTATGTTTCCCCAAGTCCTGCCAGAAGTGATCTGTGAGCGCAGAACCAGAAATGAGCTCTGAGAACCAAAAGTAAAAACCCAAAGAAAAAAAAAGTGGTGCCAGAAATCTAACCCAGGTGGGCCTCATGCAAGCACCTTAATTTCTGTGCTATCTCTCCTGTCATATGTGCGTGTGTGTGTGTGTGTGTGTGTGTGTGTGTGTGTATTTCAATCCTCACTAGTGATTCTGATGTAACAGCTGAGAAGGAACACTGCTTTTTTGGATGGTTCTAGAAGTTCTAAAAGAATGGAGGGGAAGGTCTCCTTAGAAGTCCTGTCCTAAATGAATGGCATCAATAGCCTGGTTTGGTTTGTCAGAGACGCAGCTCATTCCTGGAAGAGCTTGGGTCATTTTTAACTTGGGGGGGGGGGGTGTCACACAGTCACTTGGAGAATGGAATGAAGTCTATAGTCCTGTTACACAGAGAGAGAGAGAGAGAGAGAGAGAGAGAGAGAGAGAGAGAGACTGTCAGCTATGGGCACACACTCTTGGATTCCAGCGTCGCAGGACGCTTTTGTTCATATGGGGGTAGCAGCACCATTTGTTGCCGTGGTGCAAAGAGGTTCCTAGCCTAGAGAAACACAGTCTGGGAGAGATAGTGGAACAGGAAGGGAGCTCGCTTTGCTCGCAGCTAATCTGGGTTCTCTTTGGCATCCCATATGGACCTCTGAGCACCTCCAGGTGTGATTCCTGTGCAGAATTCCTGAGCAGGAGAGAGGCAGAAGTGAGCCCTGAGCACCGCTGGGTGTGGCCCAAAAACAGGGAAGGAAGGAAAGGAGAGAGGGAGAAAGGGAGGGAGGGAGGGAGGGAGGGAGGAAGGAAGGAAGGAAGGGAGGGAGGGAAAGTCGCAGCCTTAACAGCCAGGAGAAAACTCACAGGCTAGACAAGAGCCACCAATGCCACTTTGCATTGGAGCTTTTGAGGCCGTGCTGGAAAGCACCCCCTAAAGGGAACCCAGAGGTGCGGCCAGGAGCACCTGCCGGTCCCCCCACCTCCCTCCCCGAGAACAGGGACCCCAGCGGGGGACGCTCGGGGTGCGCCACGTCGGGAGAGACTCAGAGAGCGCGGCGGCGAAGCGCGGTCCCCGGCGCTGGGGCTCCAGGATCTGCGCGGCCACTCGAGGTCATCGACAAGGTGCCACCCGGGCGGGAGGCGACAGGGGGGCGGTTGGGGGGTGGGCGGCGGCGGCCCTCGGGCGTCGGGCCGGGGTCCGGGGCGTGGGTCCCGGGCACGGCGGGGAGCCCGCGGGAGGACGCGCGCGCGCGGGCCGGGCGGAGCCAACGCGCCCCCCCGCCCCCCGCCGCTCCGGGCCGGGCCGGGCCGCGGTGCCACCCGCCGCGCTCGGGGTGCGGGCCCCCGCGGGGCGATCGCGGGCCGGGGGGTGTCGGGGGCGGGCCCCGGGCCGAGGCTGGGGGCGGGCGGGCAAATCCCACCCCTTCCTGAAGGCAGCGCCCCGCTCGCCGCCACTGCAGCCACCGCCGCCGCCGCCGGTGCCGGCCCCGCCAGGCGCCCCCGCAGCCCGGATCAGGTAGGCGCGGTGCCCGCAGGGGCCTGCCCGGTGCCCGGGCCAGCGGGAGCCCGCAGCGCCCCGCACCCCACCCCAGCGCAGGGTTCCCAGGCCCGAGTGCCCCCCGCCGAGCGCCCCTTCCCTCCCCCGGCGCGGTCCCCAGGCCCTTTGTTATTGATGGGGCGCGCTCCGGCCCCGAGGGGACCCGGCCCGGGCCTGCGGGCGTCTCTGGCCAGCGTGGGTCCCTTTCCCGGTGGCCGCCGGGTCCGGCCGGCCCGGGCGGCCGGGCACCCCCGGGAGGGAGCCCCCCAACTTGGCGTGTGCGCGCCCCGCGCGCCGCCCCGACTCCGCGTCCCGCTCTCCGGCCCGCCGCGCCCTCCCGGGACCCGCACGGGCTTCGGGTTTTGCTCCCGGGAGCGTCGGCGGGGCGGTTCTGATCGTGCGTTGCAAGATGAAAAGCAAAATTAAAAAAAAAAATAAAGTGTTCCGCTTTGGGTGTTGGGGAGACGCGAGAGAGCGCCCCGGTTTCGGGACTGCTGCACCCCGAAAGAGCCGGCTGGCGGAGGCACGGGCTCTCCCTGGTTCTGCCGCGCGTCCTCCCCGCCTGCGCCCACCCGAGCCCCCCACGGCGCCTCGTCGCACTGCCAACACTTGGCCGGCGTGGGGGAGCGGATCACGCCACGGCACCGGCAGCCGAGCTCGGCGGAAGGCAGGCGGGCGAGCACCGGGCCACGGAGCCCCGGGGGGAGCCCTCCCGCCCCCCATTCCATCTCGCTACTTCCTAGGGAGCCGTAGACACCCTTGAGCACGTTGGCTTTTGTGTGGTTCTCTTTTTTTCCTCTGCTTAAGTTCTGACAGTAACTGTGTCTAAATGCTAATGAGAGCTGAGCCTGCAGTTCCCTGGTGGAATCACCCGCAGGTTTTTGACTAGGGCCGGGTTCTAACTCTGTCCTGGGCTGAAGAAAGGAGAGAGAGGGTTGTGAATATTGTATCAACTCCCGTGTAGCAGCTGATAGGCTGGTCTATTTAAATTCTTCCAGGAACAAAAAGTACTGAAGTCAATAAGGGTGCTATTTGCAAAGGATTTTTACAGCCCCGCTGCAGGGGCCAAGAGTCCCTCCTCCCGGGATTAATCTGCAGCTGTGATCTCTTTGGGAAGTAGAAATGGGAGTTTAATCTTAAAGGCATAAACATAGGAATTTGAATTTGATGTATACAAATTGGAGGGAGGGGCTACCCCCCCCCAAAAAATAAACGGGGCCTCTGTGCTCCAGGGTGTGCTCCTGGCAGTGCTTGGGAACCACGTGGGAATCCAGCCTGGGTCCCCTGCCGCACACCCTGTTGAGCTCTGTCCCCAGCCCTATGTCATTATTGAATCAATGATCAAAATGGCCTGCGAAACGAAAGCATAAAGAAGTTCCGCTAGCAATAATAGCTGTCGTAGCTATTCCGACCCTACGCAAATATTTTTCAAGTATTTGGGAAGTGGTTCTTAATCTGCCACTGCAATCTGTTTGGATGATTTAAATCAACAGCCAAGTGTCTGTAGAGCAAAAGTTAATTCCTGTATTTCTCATCAAAAGTCGTTCGCGGGTTGCTTTGCAGGAGGGAGAGCTTGCTCTGTGGACTATTTCATGTGCCGCTTTTCGCTTTGCAGAAATGTAATCATTCCTTATGTTTAGAGATTGTTAAATCACAATCTGTGACAGCCCTGCCAAATTGGGCTCACTTTGCTTGGCTCTGCGATGCTCAAGATCGCCCTTGGCTTTATATTCTAGACCAGTGTTTCTTCGCCCCGGGGTCATTTGGCGGGAGGTGAGCCCCCAGAATATTCCAAGGGAGCCATCAAGGGCATATCACTTAAATGGAGGATGCTGGCCTAAGACCCATAACCTGTGGGATGGTCACAGGAAGGAAACAGGTGGAAAGGGGAATGTGGCTGGGAAAAGCTTGAGAACAAGCTTTCCACTGGACTCCTGCTTTATTTCCCCGGGGCCGAATCAGCCTGACAGGAAGCAGGACTGAGCTGCAGGTCCCTGGAATCTTCACCGTTTGGTTTCGCTGTAATCTTGCCACTGGGGAACTGTTCAGTCACCGATTAAGCAAGATAGACACCGACAAGATAACGCATTGTCTGTCTTTCCCCTGGCCAAGAATTTTCCTTCTTCACTAGAAGGAGCTGCGACACCAGAATCTTCTCCGCAGTGCTGATTAGGTTCTCTGTGAGGCTCACGTGAGATATTTGCTCACTCTTTTATTTATTACTCCCAGGTGCATAATAAATATTTTCCTTATACTGGGGGTACAAGACGTGGCTCCGTTTTCCTGCTCCCATCCCTAGCACTGCTCAGGGGCTACTCAGGCCTCCGTGCCAAGCCGGGGATCCAACAGGCTTCCTGCAGGCAAAGCCCTGCACACAGCCCCTTGAGCTAACTCTCTGGCCCCTTTATATAATAGAACAATATATATATATTTTTTTAATTTCCTGCAGCGGATGGTGCCATATCTTTTGTTTTTGTGGTTTCATAAATTGTTCAAATGAGCTCCTCAGTTATTGGAATTTTGCCAGGTTACAGTTATCATGTTTGGATGTTGAAAGACAATTTGTCGCAATCGAAAGTCTTCATGCCAAGAGATTTTACACAGGCCAGTTGGAATAATATTTTGAGATACAGAATCGTTGCCAACAGCCTTAAATTCAACATCCTCCTATCACCAGAATTCCCAAAATCAAGCCAGCACTGTTAGGTAAGGCTTTGGAATTATTTTTCCCACGTGATGAATGAAGAGCTCTTGGTATCTTTTGGTGGCCTTTCTCTAGATGGGTACTGGCCAGAAGTTGGCTTTGGCGATGGAAACGTTCTACCGTCTGACCCTTAGGGTGGCTACGGGCCATGTGTGACTCTAAGCACTTGAAATGTGTCTAGTGCAATCGGGAAACTGAATTTTATGGTTTCAGTTGATTAAGGTGCTTGGGAGACTGGGTATCCCAGATACTCAGCCTGGTCCAGGCCTGAGGGTTTCGGGTTTCGGCCTCACAGTGAGGTGCTGCATGAGCCCTGTAATTCAGGGGGTGTCCCCCTCACCCCCACACACCAGGAACACACCCAGAAAGACTCGAATGAGGCCTGAAGTGCTGAAGCACAGGGCATGAGCCCACCTCTTTGAGTTACCCCGCTAGTCCCTAATTTTGATTATTTTAAGCACTTAACCCATTTCTTCCAGAACTGACACTGAATGTAGTTGTTTCTCAGAAGGAAAAAAAAAAAAAAGAAAATGGACATTGACATTGATTAAGCCGAGAATTAAAATTACAGAATGGTCCTATGGAGTAAAGTTGCAGAGTAACCTTAATTTTTATTGCAATTCTATGGTTTTGAGATGACACTTGCCTTTACTATGAAGAAGGTGGTGTTTTATGCTAAAGATCAACTCTAAAAGTGTGCACAATCTCTCTTTAGAAATTCTGGGCCATTGATCAGAAAAAACCGGCATCGCTCATTTTTTTAGATGCATCTATCTTCGTTTCGGACTGGAGAATTATTTGCTCTTGATTGTTATAGAATCATATATTCTGAGTTCGTTTCTGTGTTGTTCAGGGTTTGGGTTTTTTTTTTTTTTTGAAGGGTGTGGGGTTTGGGCCACACCTGGCAGTGACCGGACTCTCTCCTGGCTCGGTGCTCAGGGATCACTCCTGGTGGGGCTCAGGGGGTCGTTCTGGGGTGCCAGGGTTCAAACTCTGGTCTTCCACTTACTAATCATCACCCACCCACCATACTCTATCTCTGGCCCAGTTCAGTTGTTTAAAAGGAGGGACAGTTGTGGCGGTAGGAAGTCCCAGGAAGTCTCAGGTATCCCCTCCCAACTCTCCCATCCTTGGAGTGCCTTCCCCCACCCCCAACACCGCAGGGAAGGCGGGGCCTTGCCTCTGGGGCTCCCTTTTGTCTGATTTCTTTCCTTCGGTTTTCAACCCCAAACACCCTCACTCAGTCCTTAGGGGTGAACGAATCCACTTGAAAAATAACCCACCAGTATTAAAATGGAGTGTCATTTAGCACCTGCCATGAGTTTCAGGTTTTTAATTTGCTTTGATTAAACCCATAATTAGAAAATTATAATTTGCTTTGATTAAAGACATTGTTTTGACCATTACGAGGAACACATTTCAGGGTGGGGGCACTCCAGGCAGTGCTCAGAGGACTTGAGGCCCCTCCTGGCAATATTCAGGCAACTGAGGTGGCCGACTCATGGTTAGTACCCAAGTAGTAGGGGGAGCACAGTATGTAGAAAAAAATTAGAATTGTTTTTAGCTTGCTCTTCTTGAATTTACCTTTATGTTGACAAATGTGATTATTCCTTTACAAGGTGAAATGATAGCCCAGCTCTCTCTATAAATGAAGGTCCCATTAAAGAACAGATAGAACTCTGGAAGAATTGAGTCATAAAATGTAGAGAAATGTCATCCTGAGGCCTCAGATAGATTGAGCCCAAGCAGGCAGGATTCTAACTTCACTGAGCCGTAAACATCTAAGAAGGAAGCTTGCCATTTCTGATACCAGTAATCATGGTATAAAGTATCCATTGGCGGTAAATTTTCAGAATACCATCTTCTTTCAAAAATATTTTC